AAAAATACAAAAATTAAAAAAAATTATCTATTAATTATTATTTTACAGTTTGACACATGCAAAATTATTATAGGCATTAAGATGGTTGTTATTTCGTTTTCATTTTTATTTTTGAATTATTTTTTTTTTTGGTTTTTGGTACGGCGGATTCTTGTTTTTGAATTTTGATTGGGACATATCAATTACAAAAGGTTAGAAAATTGTCTCCTTCGCCGAATCTCTCTGCACCCTCCAATTCCACGGCAACTAATATTTTATCTCGGAGATGGAATATTTGATATCGGCCGGTGAGACAAGTTTTTGATTGATTTTCTTCTTCCACCGCCGTTCAAAACCGACTGTAAAAAGGATCTGCGCCGGACGAAACGAAAGCGTGGAAGGAGATAAATGTTAAGTGAAGCATCATCTTGTCCATTTATTACACTCTCGTGACTCTTGCCATACCTTTCTTTTTCACTCTGTCTCCGTTACTCCTCCCCCCACGCACGAACGTCTCCTCTCTCTCGCCGCCGGATTTCAGCTAGATCTCCGAATCTCCTCACTCGTCTGTCTCCGGTGCAGCCTCCATTGCAATCGGAAGGTGAATTTATAGTTACTGTTCATCACATTGCATCTGTCTTCTCAGTTTCGCGATTCATTTTTTTTTTTCTGTGTATTGCTGTTTTTCAATCCGTTTTGGTGGATCCGTGGGGGATTTTGTTCGGATTTCAGTAGCTGTTCCTTATTATCAGAGGCGGCGGTGGCGAAGGGAGGAGCTGGAATTGGAGCTGATGCACTTGATTGAGTAGCTTAAAGTAGCGGAGCAGCCTTGGTTTCTTTGAAGTCAGCCATGTCTCAGAGTATGAGAAGAAACAGGCCTTCCTTTGGCTCAAGCAATGGAAATGAAGAAACTCCTTTGCACAGCTCTGTTTCCATTTCAAATGGAGATGATTATGATAGTGATGGCTTCAACTTTGCACCTTCGTAAGTTCTAGATAATTGGTGGCTTCCTTCCAATGTCATCTTTACCTTCCATTTTTTGTTTGCAAACTATACGGACCTAGGAATCCGACCTTGAATGCACTTGATTCTGTTAAACGTGGACATGCATCTTTTTATCAGGCTATATGAGTGTCTAATCGTTGGTGTTTTAATTACTTGTTTGTGGCAGTAGTACGCCGTCAACACATATTATATAATATATTTATTAAAAAATTATTATTTTTAATACAAAATTAAAGGTAAATAAATTTAAAAATACAGTAATATATATAAAATACA